GACACAAACTTGCAATAACATATTTGAACCTGTCAGACTTGAGTCATAAACTGCACACATGACTTTTTCCAGTTTTAACCCAGACAGCTAATACCCCTTACAATAAAACACTTTTTCTCAGTACTTGGTCAATGGGTAAGTCTTACAGGATACACAGTAACTTGTTTCCACTTCTGGCAGCAACTATAGGATATTGCTACAGGAAAATAACATGAATTAAATAAGTATTTTCAAAATAAAAGGATCATCTTCTTGTTAATCTTTGTCCAAAAGCTTTAATCTTGCTTGTTCAAGTAGCCAACTCTTCAGCAAGAGCTGCATCTTGTTCTGTATTGTATTAATAGCATCTTTAATTTCCTCAAACCAAGAAAGAACATATTTATTTATTTAATTATTGAATGCCCATGCTTGTTAGTTTCATGGTGATATTTAAATGAGGCATTTAGCCTCTTAGATCAGAGGTCTTTCACCAAACATCACTTTCAGAGACTTATCTGGCCATATTTCCTGAACTTTAAACCCAGGACAGTATTCAGGGAAAGCAAAGTAAAAAAAAAGGCTACACAGCAGCAAATGGTTGAGCTATTTCATCAGCAAGAGAAGAAAATACAGCTGCAAAAAGTTTGGACTAATCACAAAATGAGGTGTAAATCATAAGGATGCTTCAGTAGTGAAAACAAGAGAGAAATTGAATTTAAAGAATAATAACAGCAATTAAAACCTCTCCCATAACAACATTTTATACCTATAGAAGGACTCCTTCACAAAATACAGCAGGTTTTGCATATATCTTTCTATAGTTAAAGGTCAAAGACTCTGTCCCGCATTAAGTTTCTAAGAATCAAAACCAATTTTCTAAAAGAATGTATTTGACAAGTTACAAACCTATTTTTAATTATGCTTATTTTTCAAAAAATTATGCAGTGGTTGAGAATAAACTCAATAATATTTTTAACTTTTCTCCCTTGAAAAATTTTAGTGGTCTTGAAATTACTTTAGCCTTAAGGAATGTTTGGCTGTTTCAAAAATTCTAATAATAAGTCAAGTTTTTAATACCTTGGCTGTATGAGATAAAATGGGATGTAATGACTTGGGATGATAATATTAACACTTCAAAGCAGAAAGTATTAGATCAGAGAACGATGGTTGCCTTTGTTTTCCTCATTCCAACTTTTTGCTAGTAGCATGTCATACATAGCTAAATGGTTTCAAAATATGACCACAACTATCAAAAATTATAAACCAAATTGCTAGGAGAGATAATAGATTTTCAAGAGGCTTGGTAAAGAAGTAGGCACTGGGTTTTAGATATACATTTAGTTTGTTTTATCAGTCCCAAGTGCATATCATTAACATTTTTAAAAGTCTTGATAATGGTTAGCTGCTTATATGTCAATGTCAATTTCTTGGTCTGCTCCCTGTCATGGAAGATTGAACACAGAATTTTTATTAAATTCAGCAAGTCTGTCAACAGCAAATGCATTTTTACCCATAAAAATATTTTAAAATAATGATAAAACCCAAATTAGTTTAAGATTAAACAGCTTACATAAATCCCTCATAGAAGTTCGAACTTCTCAACAATACAACCCTCATTGGGAAAAGAAGCAATAAGATTAAAACATGAAGAAGACAGTACTTCAATATAATAAGCTTAAAATACCACATCAAGAGAATGAGTAAGAAAAATCTCAACTTAAATCTTGACATAAGAAATGCCTATTTTACTTCAAGATTTCATTAGTGACATTTATATTAATCCATAAGACTTGATGACTCTTTAAATGGGGGATATTAGCAATTGGATATAAAGAATTTAAACATCCGTTGTAGTTTTCTAAGGGCCCAACTCAACAAAATGTATATGGCCTTGCAGAGATAATCAGCTCTCAACTATAGCCCCATAGAACTGGATTTAAAGCCAAGCTGAAGGTCCAAAGTAATGACTGGAGGTTCAATCTTCCATGGAAAGAAATGGTAGTACCTGCCTGGCTAGGAGACAGTGGCTTGGATAAGAGCTCATGCATCACATTTTGTGTGCTTTCTTTCCTGCTTCTCAGCGAGAAGTGCTGAGATATACATATTGTATATTTAGATACATATTCATAGATACATATAGATACTGTATCTCTACAGGAAAGAAAAATGACAAATAGTAATCTGGAAAGATGCAATGAAATTGCATAAGACTAAATGATCATGGCAAAAAGAGCCCTTCCCTTGGGTTTCTTGTTACAGGCAGAGCAAAGCTCTGTAGGCTCCACTGTCTCAGAGGAGGTTTGAACTACTCTGGGCACTAGACATTAAACCAGATTTTTTCAAAAATCAAGAACCAGCTTGGGATTTGTCATTAAAATATTATTGCAGTCTTTGCACTACTGTCTCTAAATATGGGGAAATAAACATTAATGGTCATAAGCAGGAACTATAGCAGTGACATGACTATTAACTAAAAAATCAGGGGTTGTCATCAAGGAAAAACGTATAAATATAATGTATATTACATTATATTTAATTATTTATACATTATTTATACATAGTAATGTATAAAACATGCTGAAACAGTAGAAACAATTGACACTTGGTTAAGGTTCAGATTCCATTGAGTTTACTCCATGATGGCCAGTTTCCTGCATTTTGGTATTCCTCCTGATACCTAAACCCTAATGGAGTATCCATTCAGACTGTATATCTTTTTAAGTCATATGAGATCCAAGCTAAAAGAGGAAGTAATTTTATGCCAAAATTGCTAAAGAAAAATTAAAAGGCAAGATATTTAGATTGCAGGAAGATTGGGTGGAGACAGGGACGCAAACTAATTTTTGGAAACAGCATCATAAAGGCACATTGAAAAGTTGGGTGTTTTTAAGAATAGAACTCATTCAGTACTATAGGAGCAAAAAGCCATTCAACCCTTGAGTCTTAATGAAGACCTTTGTGATTGTTCTTGCTCTTTTTTTCTCTACTCTTGACTACTGTCTGGAAAGTATTATTTGGATTTAATTGCAAAGGCTGCTTTGACTTTTGGCTCAATTTCCAAACGTTTTATATGTGCAAGTTAAAGCAGGATCAAAGCCTCAGAAAGGATGACGTTGTTAAGTGATAGCGTGAAGGCCCTTTCCTAGGTAAACATAAAACAAACACAACAAAAAAAAATACCCCAAACCCAAAACCCCCCAATGAAAGATCAAAAACACAAAACCCCCATTGTCCATCCCCTGCCAAGTAGTTCTTCATATACCAGGCAGAACTGTTTCTTCACCACCTTTTTATATCCTGACAAATGTCAGTATAAAGCTGAGTACATTACCTTGGCATTTATTTTGAAACCCAGCCATTTCCCATTTTTCCACTTCATATTTGCCTACATCTTTCACTTTACAGACACAAAAATCTGAAAACAGAAATTGAAAGGAAAAATTTCAATTTCCTGGAAAAACCTGTCTGTGTAAAAAAATCTCTACAGAGATAATAATCTTTTACTGATGCCTCTATTTCAATCTTACCTTCACAAGATGCAAAATATTAGAGAAACATTGTCCTTTTGTTTACGACATGATTAAGTCACCCATGCCCATATAGCTGTACCCCCTACACATACATCCATTAAAATACCACAGAGGAAAATGCATGTCCATGCCACTTGACTTTCAGAGAGATAGGTTCAGCCCAATTGAAAACCTATTTCTATTGCTCACAACATGTTTGATTTCACACCAAACTCCAACTTTCTGTCTTCAGAACAGTCTTTCAAATTAAGTTGATGTTATGCGTTGACAGTTTTTTTATAGTAACATAAAAAAGCAGTTCTTTCTTTCACTCTCCATTTAACCCAATGTTGCTAAACTGCTTCTGCTCAAACTTACCAAAACAAGCCTATTCCACCTGCAAGCACAGTCCAAGGTACCCAAAAGGTGAAAGTTTCACAGCATTACATGGAATTGGTTTACCTAAACTTCACAGGAATACTACTGATATACTTGTAGAACTATCCTTAAATGTGCACATATTAGTTTAATGATTACACCTGCAAGATATTTCTACAAGTAAAATGATCATTAAAGCCATCCTGAATGATTCAAAGGATGGGTGTAAAAATTAACTAAAATCAGGAACTTATTCAAAATTCCTTCCTCTGTAATTTCTCAGCAATTTTTAAAATTGGCTGATTTTCTGGGAGGCTACAAGAAAAGAACTCATTATGATTCCTGCTACACACTTGAGAAAACAAGTATCACAAGACAAGAAGACTGTGGGACAGCCGGAAGGACTAAATATACACAGTTCCCAGACCAACTCTGTCTGTAGTATCATGATGTGATTTAATATTGCAGCCGAGGAAAGGAGACCGTGCAAAGCTGCAAGAGAAGAGTTTCTCCAGAATGTCAGTATCTGTCTTTTTCCTACGCGTAAAAGACATTAGCAGATGTCAGCATACAGATGCATTCTAGCTCAGTTCATCAGCCTCATCTGCAGTGGTGACCCCTATAAGGCTCACAGCCCAGAGTAACAGATTGTCTGAGCGCTGTAAATATTTGTCACGTGTTTCCCACTCATCTGCCCTCCCGAGCGCCCGACGGTATTTGCACACATCAAACGCTACAGAATTATAACAACCTGCGTTCCCCGCTTCACTGCGCCTATCCCGCACACCAGACTAGAAGAAATCGAGGATAGTTTAAGAGTCATTTTGGGCGGGGGGAAGTAATCCAGTAAATTTATTTTAATAGCGCTGTCAAGAAAGGGGGAGGGAGGAAATCTACGGACTTTCTTCGGACCGCAACAGAAACTAAGAGATCACAGCTCTCGTGATCCCCCCGGAGCTATTTATAAATAAATAGCCAGAGAGCGGACGAGATGCTAATGACAACCAAAGAGATCCTTTCCCTGCAGTCCTGAGTTAGTGGTTTTATTTGGTAATCCACTCGATTGCGGCAGAGCCACTGCGGGGAACCGAGCAGATGGGCAGACCGGGGGGCAAGCGAACGAAAGAACATTACCTTGCGAGAGGCAGGGGGCCGGGCGGCGGGGCTCTTGCAGCTGTTCGGGGTGCCGGGAAGGACGCGGGATGCCGGGCGGCCGCGGGGCTGCCCCGCGCTATTCCGGCCGCCCCCGCCTCCTCCTCCCCGGGGCCGCCGCCGCCTCCCGGGGCGCTCCCGTTGCGGGGCGCGCGCCGCACCGCTCCCTCCCGCGGGGCGGGACTGACGGCCCGGCTGGCCAATGGGCGGGCCGCGCGGCCGGGCACTGACCAATGGGCGGGCTGCGCGGCTAGCGCGCGCCGGCTCCGCGCGCGGTCCGGCGGCGGCCGCGGGTCCGTCCGTGGCGCGCGGGGCTGCGCCGCTCCCGCGGCCGGGACTGGCGGCCCTGGCGGTGTCAGAAACAGAGGCGGCAAAGCGGGCGGCCGGGGAAGTAACGCATCACGGCGGCGGCCGGCTTGTCTGCGTCGTTAACCGCCGTTGCATAATCCGTCAAATCTGTTCTCCTCCTGGATGAGCATCGCTGCCAATCATGTCGCTACCGCTCACCACAGTAATTGCAATACAGCCCTCAAGCGAACCAGGCGTAACTCCAGACTGCAACAGTAGAGCACAAGAAATTCACTCCTCTACTCCTAACGCTGCTAGAAGAGGAAAATCAGAATACAAGCTGCCGTCCTAAACTACCTCATGAAATACCTTGGTATTTCAAAGGACATAATTTTAGGTGGAGCAAGGACCTAGTTCATTGGTCTGAATCTCACTTTTCCATAAGTAATCTTCCTGCTGCTCTTCCCTGGAAGTTCTCCATTCTTCAGAATGAAGAAAAAGGCTTTTGGAATAACTGATTTAGGTAAAAATAATAGCGGCAATTCAGCAGTAACAGAGTTAGGGTTAAAATTTCTAGTAAAAGACACAACTAGGAGAAAGAAATTATCTTGTCATTTCCGTAGGCATTTAATACCCTTGCCCGTGTAGTCAAATACTGCAACAAAATACCTTTTCTAACTGTGACTTGTAGCCTCCTGAAAATGTCACATTTCATTCTGCTTCATGAATGTTTATAAAATTCTTAATTTTCTCACTGTGCAGATCTTTCATAAATAATTATGATCTTACTGAACTTAAACAGAAAACATCCACCTCTATTTGAAGCACTAGAGATTATCAGATTCTTATTACTTTAGACCACTCACATCTTCCTTTCCTTTTGAAAACTTATTAAAATGAGTTTTCCTACTTTTTACCTGATGTTTTTTAACGGTCAGCTGGTCACCTATACATGTACTAGCTCATACTCTGCATATTGAGACACGTCTGCAGACTAGGGAATGGAAAAAACCCAGGCTGAAAGCAAGTCCTGCTCTTCTGATGTCTAGTACTTTGAAACAAAGATTAACAATTACTTTCTTAGTAACTTCATTTTGCAAACACGTGATTTGTGTGGAAACACAAGTTCACAGAAAGCAACCAACATGAAACGATTATGTCAGGCTGGGCTGCAATGTAGGACACAGTGAGAGCAAAACCTAATCTCTGAGAGGTTTCCACTTCATCTGCACTCATCTGCGTAATCAGCTTTTCATCTTGTCATAGGATAAATGCAACCTGCCTTCTGCTTCATTTACCCCATATAGAGCACTGCTATGGATTGCTCTGAAGCAACCGGTAAGAGCTCGTGTAGAAACGTATTCGGAAAGGAGCTCAAAACCATTCCATTTTTAAAGGAAATTAAAGCTTGGAAGTCTCCCATTTGCTAAGTTAATACACTAATTAGAGCTGAAAGCTATTCACTACATCCAGTAAGCAAACTGACCCTGCTTTAGAAGAAACAACCCTTACTTTCCGCTACCATTGCATTCCTTAATCTGTGATTTTGTGTAGGGTAATAAACAATAGCTGTTGCTTAAACCTTTCAGGAGCTTTTACAAACTTCTAAATTCCAGTGAATAACCCAAGTTTTTGAGTGGAACTAGTGTCGTTATCACTTGTTTTAGTCTCAGTTCATCTGAGTGTGGAAGGCTCATACAAGTAAAGACCTTTAGGGAGAAAAGCAAAGAGTAACAGCCTCCTGTTCAGGCTGCCCCTTTATTTGGAAAGGTTGGAAAATCACCAGAAGTCATAGCTAACAATCAATTAAATACTTTACCAACAGTGTTCTCAGAAGTCGCGTCTGATGGGCTTTGATGTCTGACAACCTAACTCTAAACTAAGTTCTAAGGACTAACAATGAAGATACAGGCTGGCGAACTACTTAATTAGAATTCTTTGTGCTCTTCTCTCAAAGGATGAATATTTTTCTGTATTACTGTCAGAAACATGTTCATGTAGATGTATGGTAATCTAAACGTGAAGATGTATGGGTAATCTACAGGTACATGAGGAAAACATGAACTGCATAATGCAAAAAGGGGAGTAGGAAATAAATCACAGTTTGCTGCCAAAGCAATTGTTACCAGTACATTTGCACTTGAAGATCTAAAAAGCAAACAGCTATCACGCATAAGACAACTTTATTTTCTGGTTTTTTCCCCCATACCTGCATCGAATTCTTATCCCTGAACAGGTATTTCAGGTTTTTAGTATGTTTATTCTCTTGTCTTAAAATTGTACATCAGAGCTGACACTTCCACACAGCAGGGATATAAGATTTAATATTTTCATCTTAAAATTAATGCTTTGAATTCCCAATAAATGCAGCTCCATAATGCAGCAATTCTTTGTCTACTTAAATTTACATGGCTGCTTTTGCACCAAAAAGATTTAAATCTATTCCTGAAGTTGTTTAGAAACATGAATTGAATGTATTTATGTCATAGGGAATACACCCAGAACTCTATTCTTGCTTTCCTCCTCCTGCACCCTCTCAAATCTCCCTATTTTCATCATCCCATATTTTTCGACCCAAAACACCCCATGCCTTGGAACAGCAGCATGAGTTGTCATTCCAGGAATACCAGACACTAACTACTACTTCAGATTCTGATCCCCTCTGTCCCAGCTGCCAGTTGTATTCTCATATCTAAAACTCAGAAGAGACTCTGCTCAGTAGTAATGAGAACAAATTGTGAAATTTTATAGAATCCTTAACAGGACCAACTACAATTCTCATATTATTGTCTGACGTAATGGATAGACAAAGAAAAAAACAAACACAAAACCACCCATCCAGTTAAGTGTAAGACACCATCTGCTTTCTTAAAAATTATTAAAATAAATAGAATTGGAATTATAGGACCTTGATTAATTTGTATCTTCTTATATGAAAAAAAGCAATAACACTGCTCATACGAACAACATAAATGCAAATATATTGAAATGCATGTTTCAAATCAATTGGATGGAGGGGTTTTGAGCAGTGTTTTTGGGGTTATTTTTGCCTCTGCAACATATACTGCATTGTGTTAATTTGGTTTATTCATAAATTTTTCACCTAAAACTGTCTAATACAGAAATATTATAGTTTACATTAGTAATCCATTACATACATCAATATCAAACATTTTATCCTAATGAGAAATACAGATTTGCCTGTTTCAAATTATACCAAATCAAGTAACTGGCCAAAATGGCTTTTTCTCTGATTAACAAAATGGAACTTCAAAAGACAGCAGAAGAGACTCTTTGCAATTTTTAAAATCCTGGATGCATGACTTTGAAGTGCTGCCAACTCTTGTTATTAAATGACCTGATTTTGGACAGGGAGGAAGCCAGTCTTACAACAAATACAAGTATGTGTATGCAAAATTCTGACAGTAGGGTGAAAAATTACCTTTTTTTTTATAGGAAAAGAGCATAATCAGGATTGGTACAGAAAGCAGACAGAATGTTTCAGAAAACAATGTGGAAGACCTCTCTGGAAATGAGTATGTGTTTAAGTGGCTAAAACACTAAAGGTGAAGTGGTAGGATCAATTTCATCAGTACATTGAAATTGAGGTATTCTCTGCCAGGCTTAAGTATAAGAAGAAAATTAAGGGAACTGGTGACAATTAAAATTTCAAAATAAAATTATACTAAGAAAAAGCTATTTGTATATTGCATTCTGTAAATAAATGCATGGAAACATCAAATATTCTCTGAATATTATAAAAACCAACTACTTGTCTGTTACTTGAAAAAGGAGGAGTTTACTGTTTGGCATGTGCTACATACCAACAGATTTACATTAAGCTATTATTACACCATCGAATCTTATAAAATCAATAAAATTGGCACGACTTCTCCTCATGCAAACTAAACACTAAGATTATTTAAAAAAATGTGTATGTGTTTGTGTATGGCATTAAATTCCACCTGGGAAAGATTAACAGCTGTATATATAGCCATTTATTTAGGTCAGTAGTGAAATTCTGTGTCCAGAAAAAATAAATTGGAAAAGAAAAATAAGGTTGGGTATAATGACCAGATATATGTATCAGTTGTACTGGTTGAAAGATTGTGGAGACAAACTGCCCTCAGAAACGGTCTTAAGAATAAAAAAAATCTTGAGAAAGCAGAAAATCATTAGCACTCCTCTCTGTTTCTCTGGTATACATCCTATTTTACAGCCACAAGTGAATCTAGAATCAAATGTAACAATACAGGTACATTTCCTTAAGCAGAATGGATTCAGTTTGTGCAGAAATGTTAAAAACTATAACTAAGAGCCCGGTTTCAGTATGCTGAAAGGTTACATTCAAAACACAGGATTCATGGAAAACTGCAGAGCATGAATGGAGAGCCTCATGTCACCCTCAGCACACTATTCTACATGCTGATAACAGCAGTTCAGATTTCTATCTCCAGTATTCACTTTAACATTTTTATCCATTATATATATGCTGCAGTTTAATATTTTAAAAGTCTGAAGAGAAAATAGACCAAAATAATAACAAAAGCTTCTGTAACAGATATAGCACATCTTAAAAAATTCCAATTTCAGAAAAACCAAAGTAACACTCAATGATCCAATGTTTTTAATACAAAACATCCAGGAGTTCTGCACAATAAATAGAAATGCAGGAAAACAATATTTCAATGTAGGAAATCAATGTTTTTCTATCTATATCAGAGGTTTTATACACATTTCAACCAGATGCAGTCAAGCAACTGTAGCATTAATTAGATGGAAAATTATAATTTCTCAGGCCTAGT